TTGGGTATGGAATCTTAGGTTTGTAGACCCTTTCCTCTGCTGGCTTTGGATTCTGAACAATTTCAGCTTCACTCTGCGATTGGTGTCGCGCGACACTAGTTGTGGTGTCGCTCGACACCGGCTCTGCAACTTCGAAATTTTGTTCAGATTCGTCAAACTCCACGAATTCATCCTCATAAACACCCTTTTTAAGCACATGAGTCAACTTTTTACCACTCCTTAACGAGATGGCACTGCAGTAATGCCTAGAATTGGTATCAGTCTTTCCAGGAAGGAATCCTTCTTGCCTTTTTACAGACTCTGTAGTCTGAGCAACCTGAGTATCAAGCTTCTTGACATGAATGTTCAGAACTTCAATTTTTCCATTCAGATCCAGATACAGAGCATCAATCTTCCCATTAAAGTCCACTGTCATCTTCTGCTGACCTTCCAAGATTTGTTCCAACATAGACTTCACCTCATTATCTGGAGTTTGAGGAGGAGGAGAACCATAGTTCCTTGAAAAACTGTTGTTGGAGTAGGATGTCTGGTACTGAGGTTTGGAGCTGTAACCAGAAGAGTTCTGATTACCTGTGAAGGTATTCCTCTGATTATTTCCATTGTAATTCGTGTTCCCTTGCCCATAACCAAATCTCTGACCCTGAAATCCAGCTCCATCAATAAAGTTAACATCCTCTTCCTCAAGTGCTTCATCTGGTTCGAAATTCTTAACCTCTGCAGCGTATCAGACGGACTTCTTACCCACTAGAAGGCTATGCACAGAGTCAAGCTTAGCCTTCACCTCAGCAATCTGCGATCCATCCATGTTTCCACCCTGCTTCTTTCGCTGATAGTCTGCATTCTTGGTACTATTGCTAGATGCCAAGTTCTCAATAAGCACAACAGCATCTTCAGGATATCTGGTGTTGAAATTCCCATTGCTTGCAGCATCAAGAGCCATCTGATATCTCCAATCAACACCTCTGAAGAAAGTACCTAGCAGCTGAACATCACTGAAACCATGATGTGGACAATCTCTCTAATATGACTTGAATCTCACCCAAGCAGCCTTGAATGCTTCAGTTGGTCCCTGAGAAAACGTTGAGATTTTGAGTCTCAACTCTTCAGACCTGGCATCGTCATAGAAGTTGTGCAGGAAGGCGTTCCTGGTCTCTTCCCAGGTAGTCAGTGATCCTGGCTCCAACTGCTTCAGCCAATTAGCTGCTTCTCCAGCAAGAGAATAAGGAAACAGCTTGCAGAAGAGGTAGTCATTGGATACTACATTGTATTTGCTGCTGGTGACCAAGTCCTCAAACCTATCGCTATGATCCATCGGGTGCTCATGAGAAAGACCATGGAAAGGATGCTGACCCACAAGAGTGTAATACACAGGCTTGAGCTCAAAATCGTTCCTCTGAAACGCAGGAGCGCGAATCGCAGACCGATTTGCATAGAATTGCTCAGGCTTGTTGTAGTCACCCAGCGTCCTGATGATGTTACCCTCTCCATCAAGTCGCTGGCCTCTCTCATTACACACATGACCATCTTGGTCTCTCCAGACTCCAGCATCATCACGAACCAATGCCAATGCGTTCTCCATCTCTGCTGGTTTCTGAGACAAAGAGAAAGAACAATGTAAGTAACAAAAAAAAAATAAAATTAAGAAAAACGACGGATGCCGCGCGACACTAAGAAAAACTTAGTCGAAACTCAAGAACTAAAGTTTAGTGGCGAAAATCAAGTCCCCGGCAACGGCGCCAAAACTTGATCTGCTCAAAGTTTATTCCCTAGAGCTACTCTGCAAGAGCACATATGTGCAATTGTAGTATGTAGGGGTCGAACCACAGAGACGAGAGATTCGCTCAATAAACCTATTAGGAATTGAATTACGCTAAGCAGATTAATGAGAAGCAAATAGCGATGCAAATAAAGATAAACGAATGCAGTAAAAACGTTTGTAAAGTTCAGATGTGTGGAGATTAGGTCTAGGGCGTTTCTCAGGAAATCAATGAATGCAGATCAATCGATTAATCAGGGTTCAGGTTTAAGCACGGTTCTTGAACTCGAATCACAAAATTATAATTAACCAACTTCCGTTGTGAGAATTATCTAAGTTAAAATCTTAGAATTCCAAATTCCTTTGCAAATCCTACAGATTTAAACCAGCTTTAATGCACAAGTTCGATATGTTCACAGAGTATCTAAACCAAATTCCTTTGCGAATAGCTACTTTGCTCACCCTAGGTTCTTTCCAATTATTCAATTACACTTCTGTGTCAATCAATTAACCTAAGATCTAAGTTCTAGGTCGCCAGTCCAAAATTAGCTTTAAGAACAACCTATGGTGAAGAACTAAATAGATTATGAACCCTAACTAAATCAATTAATCAAACATCCAATGAAATCCTTTATGAGAACCCTAAACCTAACAAGCAAACTACTCAGTCATGAAGATTGAAGCAATAAACATGAATGAATATATTGCAGTAAGCAGTAAATAGATTAATAAACAGGGGTTCGAAATCTTCTCTCTCCGGAACAGAGTTTCAGACTTGTCTCCCCAAAAGCTCTCAAAAACAAAAGTCCTCTCTCAGAAAATCTAAGGTAACAATATAAGGTGGCTAAAACCCCTATTTATAACTTAAAAACACGTTTTGGGCTTCTTTGTAATTATTGGAGACTTTTGGGCCCAACTCCTTCTTCAAACAGGAAACAAAATCACGTTTTCCTTATTTATGCAACAAGTGTCGAGCGTCACTCTCCATGGTGTCGAGTGACACTAAAGCACATAATTGATCCTTCACGAATTTGATCCTTGTTTAGCTCCAAAGTACTCCAAAATCACCAATTAAGCTCCAAACGTACCTATGATCTGTAAAGACTCCAAAAGACTCGAAAAACACTAAAAAGACTCAATAAATAAAACATATACCATGGTTAAAAGCCATAAAAACCATGATATATCACTCGTCTCAAAGACCAACAGTCGCGGTCAGGAGACACGCTACCACGGTGAACCCTCTTCCGGCCGCAGGTGGAACTTTGGTCTCGCGGTCGATGCTCGCTTGGCTGCAACCGCGGCTGATTCTTCTGCGGCCTGCGTCTTTCTCCCAGGTTTCTGCCGGGTAGAGCAGCTAAAAACCTATCCTTTTTTTGGGTTTTTCTATTTTTATGATTTTTATTGTATTTTTGTTTTATAAAAGTACCTGAAACTGAAAATAGGAAAAAGAAAACATAAATTGCAAAAGTGGAAAAGAAAATTGAAAGAAAGTGTATCTAAATGGGTTGCCTCCCATTAAGCGCTTTTGTTTTAAGTTGTTTAGCTCGACTTAGGCTAAAAGGTATCAGGTAGGATGACATAACACTTCTCTTGATGTGCCTTCAACATTCCTGAGTGTCGGAGATTTGAATTCTCCTTGCAGTACCAGCTTCTTTCCTTTGCCCTTCTTGCAGACTTTAACATTGCTTAAGACTTTTTTGGTGTTCTCAATTAGCTCTTGGATCTGTTCCTCGCTAAATTCTGTTGAATCTGGTGGGACAATGATCTTGATTTTTAGCAAAGGGCCTTGACATCATTTTGTCTTTCTCCTTGGCCGCTTTCCTTTGTTTCGGACTTTGTCCAAGACAGTAGGATAAAACTTCTTGCGGTCCACGTTCAGGAACACAGCATGCCGATCTGCATGATTGATTACTGCTCCTACTCATGCTAGAAATGTTTGGCCAAATATGAGTGGTCTTTCTTTGTCTTGATCCATCTCCAGAACTTGGAAATCTGCTAGAACAATCTTGTTCTCAACTAGAATCTGCAGATCTTGAATTGCCCCTTTGGTATTTTTTTGAGAAGAATCTATAAAAATTACCTTAACTGTCGATTTCTTTAGTGCTTTTATCCCTAGTTTCTCGGCGAATCTCTTAGACATGATGTTAACATTGGCTCTGGAATCGCACAAACAGTCTGTGAACTTGATTCCTGAAATAAAACATTGGAAAGAGAAACATCCTGGATCATTGGCTTTGGTAAGCCTCTGAAACGGGGAACATTGGGGTACCTTAAAGGGTGGTTGTTTTGCATCGACATTCTTGTATAGAGGTATAAAAGCTGAGGTTTATTTGTCCTCTTCATCAGCTGCAGCTCCTTCTTCGGGCAGTGTGGTGATGGTGTTGCAAAATCTCTTGGGGTTATCTTCAACTCTTCCGGGAAGAGCTCCATTTTGTCTTTTCATAGAATCGGCTGGTTGGGCAACTTGGACGTCTAGCTTTTTGACGTGAGAAGATAAAGCTTCAAACTTCCCGTTCAGGTCATTATACATGCAATCGACCTTCACGTTCATGTCTTTAGCTGCTCTCTTGTTTGTCAAAACAAGCTGTTGGATAGACTGTTCAAGTCTTCCAATTTGCGAAGCTAGCTGGTTTGTTGTAACTCCCTACTGTTTTCCATATTGATTATTGAATCTCGTACCATGCTAGTTATATGGTTGCCGCGGCTGGAAGGCTCCATTTCCTCCAAAATTTCCACCTTGGAACTTGTTTTGGAAGTGTCTTTGCTGCGGCGGTTGAGGGTTCTCTACATTTGGATTTTGGTAAGAGAGATTGTTGTAGTTGGCATTCCGGAAGTTGTTGTTGAAACTATTGTTGAAGCAGTTCAGATATGGTGCTTGTGTTCCTACATAGTTCAATTCTTCTTCCTGAAAGTTTGGATTAGTGTGATCGATATCACAAAGTCCTTCATCTTCTGGGCCATTATTGGTCTCACAGGCATGAATTGGACGATTGTGGCTTTTTAGAAGTTGGCTCATCATGTTCTTCAGCTCGGTTATCTCCTTATTGTCTGTTCCAGTCGGTTTCGTAGAACGATCATATTTTGGACAGTCGTTGCTGTTGGCTTGAGCCAAATTTTCGATGAGGGCTCTTCCTTGTGCTATTGTCTTTTGTCCGAAATCTCCATTCCTGGCTGTATCTAGTGAAAGTTTGTACTTTGGTTGCCTCCTCTGTAGAATGTGCTAAGCAGGCTTGATCCGGGAAATCCATGGTGGAGGAAGTCACGTTCATAATCTTTAAAACGCTCCCAGGCTTCATAAAAAGGTTTGGCCATTCCTTGCTGGAAACTTGAGATCTTAGTTCTCAGTAAGTTCGACCTTGACTTAGAATAGAAGTGGTTTAGAAAAGCGGTGTTACATTCTTCCCAATTAGTGATCGATCATGCAGGCGAAGATTTCAACCAACGGTGAGCTTTATCTGCTAATGAAAAATGGAACAACTTACACTTAAGATAATATGCTGGAACTTGGTTTGTTCTCATCATTCTGCAGGTTTCTTTAAAGAGCTCAATGTGATCCATTGGATGTTCGGAAGGAACTTTGTTTCACCAAAGAGATTATTTGAGGCTTGACTTCAAACTCATTCCAGTTCGGGAATGGTACTTAACTTGCAGATCGATTTTTAATATTCTGAGTGGGTGCATCAAAATCAGCTATGTGAATGTTTCCAAACCAATTGCATTTGAAAGCTGGTTGAGTCTTCTGTTAAGTGTCCAATTTTGGGGTTGATCAGACGGTGAGAAGGTCTTCGTCTCTCCATGAGAGTTCTGACGGTCTGAATTTATCCAAAAGAGTCTTTTTGTTCTAATTTGCACTTTTTTCTTACCTGAAAAGTCTTTTAAAATCCAAAAACAATCCTTTGAAAACCTTTGAAAATGGAGTAAAAACACCTGCAAAAGATATTAAAGTGATCCATAAAAAATGGTCAAACTCCGGTGTTATCAACTCTCCTAGACTTAGACTTTTGTTTGTCCTCAAACAAAACAAAGACGAAATCTCGGCGAGAGGTTTAAAAACGCAGGAACTAACAAAATCTCAGAGACCAAACTTCTAGACTAATATCAATAATTATGCATCAATCAGAGATAGCCTCGAAAATTTTCACTAAAAATATGGGCATAACTAGTCCATTAATCTGTCGTGCGGAAATCTATGCACTTAGATTTAACTTCCAGTCAACTAGCTCGTAACATTCATTAAAAATTTTGATGGTTCTCATCAAAGGAAGTATAGGCAAGGTGATCTAAGCTAGGTATCAAAAGGTTTTCTTCTAGGGGTGAGGTTTAAAGTATTTCTGGGTTACCTGAAGATCTGGAGGGTGCAAGATATAATGCAAAACCGCAAGAGATAGTGAATTTGTTGATATCCACAGTTTTCAGTCACTTTCTTCTTTCCATAAATCTCTGATCTTCTTCCTCAGGTTCTCTCCTAACTCCCCCAGACTTAGATTTCTGTTTAACTTACAAAATCATAGCTCCATAGATGAATAATGGTTGCCTTCACTCCAAATAATTTTGAAAATCTAAGACTCATCAGACTTTTGTTTCTTTTCCTTTCATTTTTTTTTGAACGGGGAAACGCCTTTATATATAAAGTCATAGAGGAGACAAAATAACCAATAAGAATGAGTTCTCTGAGGCAATATGAAGCTTGATAAGGTTTCTGATACTCTTCCTTGCTAATTCCATTCAGTCTTTCTCTTGAGTGACTGAAAATTGCGTCGTTCCTATTTTCTCTGATATTTTTGCACATATCTGCTAATACAAACTAAAGAATAAATGCATGAGGTTCGAGAATAAAGGTTCGGGTTTAGGGTATGGTACCAACTAAAGATGAACTGACTACCTCGGACAACAAAGAGTGGTAAAAATGAGGAAAAAAATGTCCTAGATGTATATCTTAATGCATGCCTATAATCCATGATGAGAAAATTAAATATCAATATTAAGGTCAAATAAAACGAGCTAGTATAACCTGTTAGGAAGAATCTCCATGAATAGAAGTCCTCTGGTGGGAGTTCGTAGTGCAAGTACTTTAGCTACCGCCTAGTCTAGTGCTAACCAAAAATGAGCTATCATGCGTAGTGTAGAAGCATGCAGGTCTAAATCATCATAGTTTTGTGTCAAACATTCCTGAAAAATACTAAAAGTCGTATAGGTTACATACTAAAAATTTAAAAAATACTTGAAAACAAAGTAAGAAAATGATTAGTATGGATAGACATCCTCCCCCCAAACTTAAATCACACTGTCCCTAGTATGAAAAAATTGGTGAGGAGATGGTAAATAAAAGCAATATAATCTAAAAATAAAAGAAAAGAAAATGATGATAGAACCGTGGGGCTGATGATGAAGTGAAGTGCTGATCGATCAATCCTCCTCTGATGTGTCTGTATCGAATTGGTGCTGCTCCTGCAGGAAGGTGACGACGCGCTAAAAACGTCGCCCTTGTCTCTCAACTCTGCGCTCCAGGTCAGACTGTGCGCGTGATGATGTAGATGATGGCTGATAGTGAGAACGTGCTGAAGCTGCGTCACACTTGGCCTTAGCCACTATGTATTGCCCGATAGTGAGTGACATGCGAGATACAGAAAGTAGAAACTCATCAGATCCTGGAGTCCAATGCGGTCGTGCTCCGTCGCATAGTCTCAGGACTGATGGTGAAGGTAAACAGACTCAGTGTTTCTCGGTGCCAGTGCAATACTTGTAACCAAACATGTTTGGATAAAAAATGGCACGAGAGATAGTGTGGTCGCGAGAGAGATAGAGTAGGTCATACCAGACGTCCGGAAATGGGACATCAGATGAGAAATCAAATCCGACAGCCAGTAGTATGGCTGTAATAGCGCTCCCAAAAGCAGTAGATGCATCCTCACATATATGTAAATCATGCTTCACCTTCACCATGTTCTGTGCGATGATCCAGGCAAAGCAGACAAGTCGAGGGTTATCCATAAATGGTGTCTGAAGTGTAATAAGCTCGGTCTTCATAACACATCCCGTGTTGGCTCTAAAGAAAATCATGTGTGCCAAGAGTTTGTGCACAACTCTCACCGCAGGATGGTAAGAAGGGTTGACTTGGATCTACCACTATCATAGACGCCATGACCCATCTCTCTCCATAAATCGAAATCAGGCTCTTCGTCGAGATGAACGCCATCAATGTATTGAAGCTTAAGAGCTTCACAAAGTGCAGGAATGGTGAGTGAGTAGGACTGTCTGCGAATAAAGAATGATAGAATATCGTCAAATGCTCTAGGGCTCCTCCTCTTTGTGTGGTGAAGGGTGACGGTTGCTAAGAACTCGCGAACTAGCTTAGCATAAGTTGGAAGATTCAGCTCCATGTATGGTCTCAGTCCAAGTGCATCGATGTACCAGATAACATCTTCTCTAATCCCAAGTATCTCGAGTATATGATAATCGATGCAAGGTGTCGGTTTGATGTTCAGCTTCTTGAACCGCCTTGCATAATCGACTCTTGGGTTAATCTCCTTCCCAATGTATCTAATTTTTGGTTGCTCGGGAATCGCATGGGCTTCTCGTGAGTGTTGGAGCAGATTCATCACTCGACCTCTTGTTCTCGGTCTAGCTCGGCTCAGCATGTACTCTCCAAGAGTACTATCATCGGGTACTGTCTCGGAGCTGTCAACAGTGCGACGGCTTCTTCGAGATTCAATTCGATCCATGTCCCTACAAGACAATGTAATTCTCGGAAAAAGACTGAATATGGATACCGAGTTTAACACATTAACGATCAGAGATTCAAATCAGAGTATCAAGAGGTTAGTTAAAACAACAAGCAAGGATAATTGATATCAATTCGAAAAACCGAGTAGTTCATGACCAGATCCGGATTTGTGATGTTCTTTACATGGAAATTTTCTAAAAGTTGGTTTAATTGAGCAATTTCCATGTAAAATCTATAGGTTACCTAATACGAATCATTAATCACACAAGATTTGATAAAATTCAAACTTTACTAGTCCAAAATTGATACTAGTCCACTTTAAATCTTGAACCGCCTTGCATAATCGGGAATCGCATGGGCTTCTCGTGAGTGTTGGAGCAGCTTCACCACTCGACCTCTTGTTCTCGGTCTAGCTCAGCTCAGCATGTACTCTCCAAGAATACTATCATCGGGTTAATCTCTTTCCCAATGTATCTAATTTTGGTGGCTCGGGAATCGCATGGGCTTCTCGTGAGTGTTGGAGCAGCTTCACCACTCGACCTCTTGTTCTCGGTCTAGCTCAGCTCAGCATGTACTCTCCAAGAGTACTATCATCGGGTACTGTCTCGGAGCTGTCACCAGTGCGACGGCTTCTTCGAGATTCAGGTCGATCCATGTCCCTACAAGACAATGTAATTCTCGGAAAAAGACTGAATATGGATACCGCGTTTAACACATTAAGGATCAGAGATTCAAATCAGAGTATCAAGAGGTTAGTTAAAACAACAAGCAAGCATAATTGATATCAATTCGAAAAATCGAGTTGTTCATGACCAGATTCGGATTTGTGATGTTCTTTACATGGAAATTTTCTAAAAGTTGGTTTAATTGAGCAATTTCCATGTAAAATCTATAGGTTACCTAATATGAATCATTAATCACACAAGATTTGATCAAATTCAAACTTTACTAGTCCAAAATTGATATTTACAAAGCATGTAGATTCCAAATTTCAGAACTATCATTTCCTCTTGAATCAAGTGTTAAAATCAATTTCTAGACAACCTAGAAGGCTAATCTATTATTCTTAAGCTATCTCCACCAATAATAAACCTAGAATTTAGCCTTTTAAGAAAACCCTAAATTCTGAAATCGATCAAAAATGGCGACTTTGAGCTTCACACCTTGTTGGAAAGAGAGATTTGATGATAGATTTGAAATCAGCTTTGAAAAAGAGTGAGGTTTGGTCCAAGAATTTCTTAAAACGCTTAAGAATTGAAAAAGATGTTCTATATCCTAAATCTCCAAGTGTCTTAGAAGAAAAAAAAAGGAGCTTTGATCCCAAAAGTGCATTCCCTTTCTTTAAAATGCGTTTTTGTGGCAAAACGGGAAATTTTCGAGAATTCAAACGTTTACGGGAACTTACCTTACTTGGTAGTTATGGAACCGGGAACTAAGAAAATTTAAAAACTTACGGGGAATCGGAATGAGCTGTCCCGGGAATGTTCTGGGAGTTGTTGGGAATTTACCAGGAATCTCTGAAAAGCAACGCGAATCGGAGGTCTCGTCTCAAAGACCAACGGTCGCGGTCAGGAGACACGCTACCGCGGTGAACCCTCTTCCGGCCGCAGGTGGAACTTCTGTC